AGTACAAAATATTTTGTAAATCCTTAAAGCTAAAATAAGAAAAAAGACGTCAGTTTTTTCCAACCATATTGCACTAATATTTGGAACATTTTCAAAAACTTTACCAAAGCATACAGACTTCAGTCTTAACCATAGTGCATACATACTTGGTAAATATGGAACAAAATTTAATTTCGTGTTGAAGTATTTCAGTTTCATTTTGCACTGCCTGCAGAYAATTGTGCTCATGTCGAGCTCTTTTATTCCCCGGGGCATTGTAGAAACCAAAGTGTGTCCAAACACTGGCTTTTAGGGACGACGGAGCGGGTTGAATCAAGCTCTCCTCCTGCTCCATGCTAACAGACTCCACTCAGAGCAAGGGAGCTGGCTAACTAGCTTAGCACCGCTAGTAGAGAGACGCCGCCTTCTACGGTGGCCGCAACATAATCTACAGTACAGATTACGTTACCTTTCAGATTTGACAAAATTTTAAACGCATTCTAAAATCAATTTGTGCAAGTTTAGAATCGATTCAGAATCGCCATAAACTATGAATCACGATCCTTTTTAAGAACCGATTTTTCTCAACACCCCTCTAGCTCCATGTGTTTATTATAGCTCCAAAACAGAAGTCCAGTTGCTTCGTCTTTTTACTTTTAATTTTCCATGTAGATAGTAAACACCAGCCTCGGTTGCGGAGCGTATCCATCCTAAAGTTACTTACGTTACTTCCAGCTCGTTACTTTGTTCTGAAAATAAAAAGCTTCACCGGAGCATCCGGTCAGAGGCAGGTTCAGATATAAACACTGAACTAAACAAGCAGGTCAGATAGGGACACTTTTCCTTGTAGCACTGCTACACACATAGCAAGCTAATGTTATTGGTTGTGTCCAAATTCAGAGGCTGGGTCCTCCGAAGAACCCGACCTACCAGGTCCAGGTGGGCTGAGTCCTTTGGTAGGTCCTTGGATGCATTTTTGATGCCCAAATCGCATTCGCTGTGAACTAAAGATGCCCTGATCAGATACTCAGAATCAGTATCGGTGGCAGATATGGACATTTTTTTGAGAATCAGGTAGAATCGGGTTGAGTCATGTGGTCGGGCTGATCCAGTTYTTGTGACAGTTTTCAGCATCATCATGCTTTACAAATGCCGTTAAGAAGTCAAGACGCACGAAAGTATTCAACCATGTCCACAGTGTGGGAACACTTTTCAATGGAAAACAATGATGCTGAAACTGCATCTTGTCAAATCTGCAAACTGGATGTTTCTGGTGGTGGGAACAGCAGGGCTCGCTTTAATGCTACCAACCTTGTCACTTGGAAAGAAATAAAGAAATAAAGCTACCGGGTCAGTATCAGATCGTTGTCAGAAAGACTAATTAATAAAGTGCCAATATTATGTGTTTTTCAGGCATATATTTAAATACTATACCATAATAAAGTATCTATGTCACCTTTAGCTGTTATTAAACTGCTGTTTTTAATGTTTAAATAGAAAAAACGTATCTTCTCATCACTTCCTCTTCTAAACGCCTTGAAAATTGGCCTCTGTCTCTTTAAGAACCTCCTTCTGCTTTTGTTCCATCCCGTTCGGTTGGGCGGGGTTCGCACTCGGGGGCTCATGCGCGCGCTATGATGCAGTTTACTTGGCATCTGAAAATAAACTGAAGTAATCTGAAAAGAGCTTCACTGAGTGAGAACAAATGTTGAGAGCTCAGCAGACAGTTAGGTTTCACTTTCAGTTTCACCCGAGAGCCTGCAGGAGTCATGGGCGGTGTGTGTGTGGTGGGGGGAGGGGCTACGCTTCGCCATAAGGAAGTTCAGCTTAAAGACACGTCCCAGGTAGGGC